CCACAAACAAGCAACAACTGAAGACAGCTGCAATAAAGGCCTGGCACAGCATCACAAAGGAGGAAACCCAGCGTTTGGTGATATCCATGGGTTCCAGACTTCAGGCAGTCATTGCCTGCAAAGGATTCTCAACAAAGTATAAAAATGAAAATTTTTTTCATGGGTACATGTTATCTTGTGCAAATTATTTCACCTTCTGACGCCCTTGAACATGGGCAGCACTTATGTTTAAAAATGTTGCAATTTCTAAACGTTTGATAAAGGATATTTTTGTTTTCAACCCCTTGAATTAAACCTTAAAGTCTGCAGCTTTATTCGCATCCTCAGTTTCTTAATTTCAAATCCAAGTGGTCGGCATGCAGAGGCCCAAATCATGAAACAGACTGGTGTCACTGTCCAAATATTTCTGGGCCTAAGAGTATGTATACACTACACACTATAACCACGGATAGATGCTGTAAATACATAGAGGCATTCTAAATGTTGCATGCCATCAGCTTATCTGGTAACAGATATTGAATATCACCACAGAACAATTCAGCAGTCTTTAACAAATATACTACACTTTATGGAAAAGCAATTTCACTATTTATCTCAGTGGGACAGCAGACAAACTGCTGTTGAGGTTTAAACTCCTAAATATCTTCCGCAGCTGCAGGATGTAAATCAAATGATGTATGACCTCTTCACCATAAGTCAGGCTATATGGAATGTTTTTCAGGCCTTGTATGAGTTTGAAAAATCTATCACTGATGCTTAATTTATCCAATATGGCATTCTTTTGCACATACTTGGCAATGCAGCAGGCGCATGGAGTTAGTTTACTTTTATCTTGCTTGAGTCATTTGTTATTTTGATCAAGTGTCATCATAAAAGTGAAATCATAATTGTTTGTGCAGTTGTGTCTTTGAGGGTGTCAAATGAGCAACAAGTTACAATCCAGTTGAGTACAGTACGTCCATAATGATGATTAAAGAGTTAGATATCTTTATTATTAAGCTTTTTGAGTTTGAATCATAAAATACTATTTTTTACCTGTTTTCTGATAAATCAGAACATTCCAGCAACTGCAGTTTGGTGCTCGTCTGCCAACAACCACACTGATTACTGTGCTTGAGTCATAATTGCCACAGGATTAAGAAGACAATTGAGGAAAGGAGTTTAGGCTCTCATTTGTAGGAATTCATTTATGGGAAAAAATAAGCTTTCTCATCTCAGCCTCTTTTACATTTATTTGTAGATTAAAACAAGCAGAAGCATTCAAATTATATGCAAGTATTTGTATCCATTATATTACCATGCTGTCTTCCTAAGTATCAGACATGATTTGCATGTTTATTCCCAAAAATCATTTAAATATTCAGGGGCACCAAAGGGCAACAACAGTGGGAAATTATGTTAATACTATTCCATCAAATCATGTTTGCCATTTTGAGCCTATAATGATAGTAGATCAAGCATCTAATAAACTAGTAAACATGAAGTAGGCACTCGGGGACAGTGCTGTATCACATTCAGTGTGCATGATACCCAAAACAGTTTAAAGAGCTAAAATCCTGTTGAGGTTGCTACACTGCCAAAGCTCGTAGTATGTTAAAAATTGTCTTTGCACATACATAAAATCCTAAACCTAACCCTAACCCTCATGATGTTGTTCGGGCCTAGGGAGTGCTTTTACCTGAAGAATCCCCGCAGAGTTATACGCAGTTGAAAAAGAAGCACAGCTTTTCTCCCGACAGTCTTTCAGAAGTCATCTTTTCCTTTTTCTTTTTTTTTTCTTTTTTTTTTTGCATAAAGTGTTTATGCTGCAGGGGCACAGTCAATGAAAGGTCAAGCCTCATGTGGAGCGATTAAAAATAGACCAAACCAGACTTTGCTGTAATGTCAGACTAATGCGACCAAAGTGGAATTGATTTGATTAATACAAAGGAGAATATACAACTAGCAGCGTGGCTTATATAATGCAGCAATGATTGAAGTCATGATAAGAAATGATACAGCATAATTAAAGGGATCACGCTCTAATGTTAGAAAGATAAGAAGAGATTGACAAAAAATGCAAATGAGCGCTCGGCGTCAGTGGTGGCTCGTGTACCCCCCTGCAAACACAGTGTAGAAAGATATCAATTTTGAATCCAAAAGGTTGTAAACCACCAGACCACCATAAATAGCGGACTGTTTCTGTTGGTCTGTTGGTCTTTGTATTGGCGTATCACATAACCCATACAAATACCCACCAGACGCTGCTGCGCAACAGTTTTTTATCATGTTCCAAATCTTAAATCATTTGTCGTAATTGAATGTGGGTACTAATGGCCTTTCTGGATTAAGTCCATAACCGCTGCACATTTGCCATGTTTATGTGCTGTGAAGTGTTTGAAATGTTGATGACTGTTGTTCTTTGAGTGGCTTTAACCCTTCACATGGATCAGTGACCAAGCTGTTTTAGCTTCAAATGTGTTCAATCACATGGTACCATTTGTTTATTAAAATAATTAAACACATTTATTAAATCATGTGTGATGCTAATGTTGTGGAATACTGGCAATATTGAACTTGCCTTTTTTTTTTTTTTTTTGGGCAGCATAATCTTGATTATAATAGCCCTGATTAGGTGTTTAAGGCTTCAGAATAGTATTGCCATTATCAGTGAGACCCAGCAAAATTACCAGTACAAACTCCTTAACATTCATAACGCACTCTTAAAAACATCACAGCCTGTGTAAATCTTAAAAAGTACTACATTAAACATCTGTACACTTCAGGGTTTGAAAAACAAAGAGCATTTTTAATTTGCCCTGACTTTAGAATAACTGCACTTTCAGCAAGTTCAGCTGTATGAAGGCCAAGGTGTGGATGCTTTGGTGTAGGCGAGGGGTTCAGCTGTAAATGCTCTGCATCATCTTGAGGAGAGAGTGTGTGCAGTGGACAAATGATCAGCATATGCTTTTCATCCTGTCCTTTCAATTCTGGCTGCATACGCATCAGAAGAAGGTTTTCTGTTAAATAGTAATTTTGTTTGTAATCAGATGTGAATTCTGGTTTAAAAACCTAATGTATTTCTATTAGTAATTTATTCTGCTTATGATATTGATTTTACTATCTGTGCCGAGGAGTGTTTCATTCCACTTAATGTTCTATTTTATTCATGTTTCAGTGCTTATATTTGCAGAGAAGTTGCTCTTGGGAGCGTTATATTGCACTCTCCATTGGGAAGCCATTAGGTTCCCTTCACTGTACAGTCAAAGTAATATAATTCAAGTGTTAATCTTCTGGATGTGATAAAATTTTATTTCAGACTGATAATGGTTTCTGCAACACCGAAGGTTTGATTAGAGAGATTAGTCAGAGGTTCTGGAAAGGTTGCAGTTTTCACATTCATAGGGAGGCAGCATCAGTCTAGCAGGTTTGAACCATAAATTGTCAGCAGAGCTGCGTACGCTGCATTTGCTGTTTATATATATAATTTTAGTAAATAGATTGCTGTTGTACAGTTGTAAGAATCTACTTACAATAATGCAGAACACTGGTTTGTCTTCAGCGCAAATATTCTTCCTTCTTTCTGCTTTCTCTCTAGTTTTCAGTGATGATAAACTAATGACATGAAGGCCTGCTATCACGCAAGTTTGAATGTTTTATGATGTTTTCCTTTACTGTTTTTCAGATGAATTAGAAGTATTGTAACCATTTGCTTTGATTTACACACTTCCTTATTCTACAATAGCTGTTTGTACTTGGTGCTGTCTCAGTAATACAGGCAGTCCACTGGCCCTGTGGAATAATGGTGCTCATACACTATATCAGGCCCAGATTGCACAGGAGTGCAGTATGTAAGTGGGTGACATGGTACAGCATTAAAAGCTCCCATTCGTTCATTACCTGTGTGATTGCTATTGATCTGCCTGTTTCAAATGGATTTGTAGCCGCAGAGCTCTACATGCCAATGTGATACATCATGCCACAAAGACATGCCATAGAAAATAATATGATAAGATCAAGACATAAGCCCCATATAGAATCTTGCGTATAGAATCTCAACGACTTTGTATGCAGATATAGATTATTGTGATTGATGGGAGAGGATTTAGGTTGAAATCTTTCTTTTTCTGTTTCAATTGTTTTTCAAATGAAGGGATAAAGGAGTTTCTGGATGGAGAGGTGTAGTGGAATATATCAAAAGGAAGATAAATGTGTGCTGTTGAGGAGTGTTTGGTCAGCAGAATGTGAGACTGTGTGCTTTGGATGTAACTGAGTTCCACAAGGTTGATTGAATTTCAGATTATGCTTACCTACCAGCATACATCTACATTTTGTCTTCATTTTGCAAGTGAAATATTTGTTATGTCAGGTTAACTGTTAAAGTGACAGTAGGACAATGTTATTCCACCGCAGGACTTCTTCAGAAAGTGTAACCATTAACACAGATAGTTGCAAACCATTATAATAATTACTCAGTATTTTAAGTCTAAGTATAACTTTGATAATAAGTAGACTTGGACGCAAGGATAACCGCCAGGTAACCGGGTCCGATCACGCCCACGCAATTAGGTATCAGAGTTGAACCCTTTTGGTCTTTATTCAAGAGTTATAAAGTGTCTCTGAAAACTGTAAGAATTTGAAAAAAAAATATTTTCACTGCTTGCTAAGTTTTATATCTACCTCTGTGTCTTCCAGGAGGCAGTGGGGGAGAACGCAGGAGTCCACGGCCCAGCAGAAGACAGGAAGGAGAAGGTGCCCAGCCCTCATCTCAGCCAATTGGTAGTCCTCACTAACAGTGGGACTCTCTATGGGCTAGCACAGAGGGTGGTGGCCACCGAGTCTCTGTAAGTACTCTTTCTACTCAACACTTAAAATCTCAAATGATTACTTTGCAGTGATACTACTTAAAAAACTACTCATTGTGTAAACATAAAGCATGCAATAATTTCAGTCATTATAAAGCAATGTAATTACACATTAAGGTAACACACAGCAGTCTTGGTCTTTAATACTCTGGTGTTATGACTGCAGGGCTTGTTTTATGTCGTCACTGGTGTGTCCAGGCGGTGTGATGTGACTCGGCAGTTATGTTCATCAAAGCACTTTCTCTGATCAAGTTAAAGAGGATTGTTCGAGCTTGCTGCCTCGCACCAAGGTTCACATAATTTCATTAGGCAGTGTTGCACAGCCAGGCCATCAAAGAGTTGCGCTACCTGCAGTGTGTGTTTGTGTGTGGCAGCGTTGTTTTCAACATTCCCAGCAATAAAAAGTTGGAAAATGAAAAAAGATGATTGAAATATGAAGGGAGACAGAGAGACCTTTTTTACCCTTAAATAGTCTTCCTAGCTTTCTCCCTATGATTTGCTATTTGTGTGAAACTTTGGCAATCAGTTGCTCACTTACTGATTTATTTTCTCCCTCTTTCACCGCCTGAGTAGTTATTCTCCTACTCTATCTTTGTCTATTACATCTACACATACATACTTACATAATTAGACCAAACTGTCATCAGTGCTGACAACTCTTGGACCCTGAGAAGTCTGCAGCGTACAAGTGCTTTATAATGGAAGTCTGTAAACCAAGGGCCCAGATTACACCGCCTGAAAAAAATGCTGAATAGGCTTACACTCTCTCGCACAAAGTTTTTCGTGTATCGGAGGCAGGCAACAAGCTCAGAAGAATAATGAAAGCAAAAGAGCTAAAGTGCAGAGGTGACGATATTTCTTGGGTGAAGTTTAAAAGGAAAATATTTCCTAAGGAGAAAGGAGACAGACTTATTCTGGGCAGAACTGCATGAAAAGTTTTTCTCTCTGAAAAGGTGTTATTAGAAAAGGCATCCGACCTTAGTGTTCATTGTGAGAACCTCTGACCTCTTCAGCATATGCTCTTTCAAACACAATTTTGAAAACAAAAGCAAAGATAAGACCTCTGTAAGGTGCCCCTTTGGCTGTTGTTCGTCCTTCTGGATGTTGTTGAGGTGTCTTATTTATACAAGCGTGATCAGATAAGTGTGAACTGCAGGATGTGCTTCCCCCCCCCCCCC